GCCAGGCTCTTTTTTCTTTACTACTCAAACCTGATTACTTGCAAACCCCATGACTCACTCTGTCCCAGCTCTGCTTCTGCAAGTTAGCAGCAAAGTCAGCCCAGGCTTGGAGTATGGCTTTCTGTGTCACCTCCTCAATGGAAATCTGCCAGCAGCTTCCCTACACTGCCCCAGGATCAGTTGCTGGGAGTTCAAGGTGGGGCTGTGTGGGCAAAGCCCTCAGGACCACACCTGGGAACAATTACAAGACCTCTTGGTACTGGGAGATGATCTTTAGGAGACACTCAAAAACTGTGCTGGCACCACTGCAGGAAGAGAACCCATTTATTTGCTCAGAAGCTACAACAGTATTTGGTCCACTGTGCTATTTTCTTTTTGCATGAGGAAGGAAAGATGATCAAAATTTCATCAAGCACAAATGGCTCTTCTAAAAACACCAGGTTCTTTTCCTCACTTCAGAAAAAGCCAGGCCTTTTCTCCTAGTCCTGCCCTAAAGAGACATTTGGCTTGGTAGAGGAAAGTAAACATCATGTTGAGGCTTGCTTTCTTCTTTTTTCCTGAAAGAGAGCAAAATGTCCTTTAATGACTCCTGTTCTGGATTCAAGAACCTTGCTAAAAGGAAAGTGTGTTCCAACTCAAGAGCCCTTGCCAGCTCAGTTCTAGTCTGTTTGCTGCTTGGACCACACTTGATCTCTGCTGCTGGATTGCTTATTTTCACTGAGGATCTTACAGAGCCTAATTCAGGTATCTGTTGTAACCTATGGTCCTGCTTCTATAGGGTAGTGCTAATGCTCAAAGAGCATGGCAAATACACATTTAAGCTGCTTTTCCAAGGTWTTCAGACCAGAGAGGGGCTCAAGAAGACTGGGAGACTGTGTTTASTGAGGGAGCCCAACTCCTCCTCCAGACTTTCTGTTGCAGCAATTGCTTTTGCAGCATTATTCAATGCAAACACCCTACAACATTTCCAAGGGTGTCCTCATGTTAACAACACTGCTGTGCATGGATAAATTCCCAGTTACTTATACCAAGCACTACKTATGTGGAAGATCTTGAAACAAGATGGAACCTGCCTGGAACAACACCCTCATTTTGGCTGCAGGGTGCAGCATCTGTAGCTGGCGCCTGTGCTTGTCTGTCTCACTCTTTGTTCTTGTGAGTCTGTCTCCTTGGATGCAAAGAGGAAGCTGTTGGTCATACTGAACTGTCAGTAACTCCAGTTTAAATCCAGCATAACCCCATTAGATGCAGGGAAATTAATCTGGCTTTGCAGAAGCATGACTTCAGCTCTGTAGCTGAATCAACGTTTTTAAAAATGGTATGGAAATTGGTGAGAAACCAGTAGAGATTGTCCCAACTTTTCCTTCCCGAAAAATTTGATTTGTTGAAATGCTGCAGTCATAAATACAGAACAAAGGAAGTGAATACATTACAGTGTCTCATTGTGAAAGGGCAATGGCAGGTGCTTTGATAAACTAGGAGACAGGTCATTATTTCAGTGCAATGCATGTCAGAACATCTGCCTACTGTAGCTCTCAAAGAAGTTATTTTTTAACTTCCTTCCTATGAGATTTGTTAGACTGTGAAAGAGAACCTCAAATGAGTGGTAGCATAATTTACTGAGTCCTAGGAAAGTTATATTGGTGAATTGCYTTGCATTATACTGAGGCAATCACTAGGATGACCTAGTGACCTTTCCATTTCTAATGGCTATGATTATTGCTGTTACACCTCAGGACACTAAACAGAGATATTTTCTTCCTTTCAGTGGCAAAATGTCACTAATGGCCATGCTAACTCAGAGCAATTGATCCTCCTGCAGATGTGTTGTGCACTTAGCAGGCAGCTATAGATGAACACGCTTTGTTTAGATTTGCTATTTTCTGTTTCTGTAGTGCAAGTGCTCAGCACAAGGGGACTGTCAGCTAAGAGAAAGATTTTCTGGTAGGAGATTAAGGATCACTAAGGAAATGGTTGCATGACCTATAAAGAGAAGATCATAAATATTGCAACAATAAAACCAATAGCTCCTTCAAAGTTTAAATAGCTTTTCTTTTCAAACACTTGAAGTAAATGCCCTTTTTCCAAGGCTGTCTTGCATCTACATTTTAAGATTTCACACGTTTCACCAAAAATATTTTAACTTCTCAGGGAACTAGCTTTTTCTTTTAAATAACCTTTCTTTGTGGAAGCATCCCCTCAAAAAAATTACATTCCAGGTACTTGGAAGTTCCTTAGCCTTTCATCTAGTAGTGGAACTTCAGAAAAGCTAGAGCATAACAATAATAAAATAGACCCTGCTGTGTTGTGTCTCTTAAGCACAACACCCACCAAACAATACAAGTAGAGGCAAGTGTAGTTCTGCCCTTTATAACAAAGCAGCAGCACTTAACCTTTTCTTGCATCCTAGAGGGAACCTCCAGACACAAGGGTCTGGCTACATAAACCCTCAGCTAGAATATTCATATTCCTCACAATCCCAAGTATGTAAAATCCCAGACTTGTGCTGCTGCAGCTCTGCTGACACAGACAACTGACATTCCTATTTCATACTCCCTGTTAGTGTGCAAGATGTGGCCTTTGTTTCTAATGCCTGGTGTAGGATCCAGCTACAGCTCTAGAGTAAGCAGCTTGCTCTCCTGTGCACTCAGTCTTTTTTCCCCATTCTCCMTGCTGCCATGAGTCTGTAGCCAGCTCAGGGGAAGCATAAACCAGTGTTCCAGCAGCCAGATTTTACAGAAGTGTTCCTATTCCATTGTCACCCCATGTTCTCATGTACATTTAGCTCATATGTCACACCCCTTGGCCTGGGAGTACTGCTTTGGGCACTTTTAAATAAAAGTATCACAGCAGRAAGGCTGGAGCATCTTGATACTAGTGCTGCATCCTGCAATCAGCTGGCTGTTGGTGTGATTGCAGAGAGCAATATCCTTGCTAGAAAAGCCATTCCAGTCTGGTAAATCAAGTAGCTGAAGAAATATGGGTGTTCATTCAACACACAGCAGGCATGTGCCAAATCTACCCCCAAGCCTGTGCAAAATGCTGATCAGTCCACAGCCCACTGGTGCAACACACTTTTCTTTCTTACACATTGGAAATTCACTACTCAGAAGCTCTTTTGCTTTGAATGAAGTAAAAAGACAAATGCTCCCTGGACAGAGCCAATACTCACAAATTGAAATATTCTTAACCTGACCTCCCTGATCCTTCCTCATGCCTCTGTATGTAAGTGCATTAAAATCAGCTCTCATTTGTAGTTCTAGGTTTCAAGCTCTCTGTAATAGCCACAATCCTCATTATACAAATTTTGTCTCTACGCTTTCTACACAAATTCTTTTGGTTGTGTTTTCCTTGTTATGTGCAATTTCCCATGTCCACTGGAATTTCAGTATCTATAAAAAAAAGTCCAGTGTTAATAAAATCATTGCTTTCAGCACTCCCTGTCATCTAGAAGTTGCTGCTTTCTACCCAAGGCAAGGTAGGAGGCTGTTTTATGCCTACAGTTCTCCTACCAGTTTCTAATGTTTTAGGAAAAAACCTGACAAGTCAGATGAAAGACAGAAGTTGATATTACAGACAGGCAGGCTGAAAAGGGAGAAAGGAGTAGAATTAGAAACATCTCCAAAACTCGAGACATTTACACATTATGTGATGACTTCAGGTTACACCAGCTACTGTGCCCCTAAGTTCTTGTGCAGACACTTCCACCTACTCTCTTACTTCTTTATCTTGCTGAAAAGCACTGCAAATTTGCCCTCATTTGGATGCTGGGTGCTGTATGTTATGCTGTGGTTTTCTGTAACCTGACTCCAAAGAATATACGCTCAGACTTGCGAGGATGATGTGAAATACATGTGCAAAGTTAGGTAAACATGTGCCAGCCTTGCTTCATGCGTAAAGACTTTACCATTTCATCTGCATAGGTTTCTCTTCCAAGATGGTTCCGGCAGTCACTGACTGTGCTTTTCCTAAGCCTTGCTTATTAATGAGAATTTCCAAATCTGCATTTCTTCAGCAGGCTAAGGACAGGGGTCATAAGGTCTAGGGACACAAAGAGGTCATTCAGTCCTGGACTGCTCCCTGATTTTGCAAGAGCACAGAGAAAAGTGTCAAGAAACAGAAGTGCAATATTAAAGTAGCAGCKAAATGAGGGGAAGGACAACCTTATCTTTCTTTGTTGAAGAACCTCCCTAAAACAAGTGCAGAAAAAGAAATGGCACAAAGTGATGGTGGTGCTAATGCTATAAAGAAAGCAACTCAGGAGCCACAGAACCCTGAAACAGCCTGTGAAACAAGCTTGGATTAGACAGACTCCTCTTAAACAGTACAAATGCATTTGCTACATGGATTGAAAACACTGAAAAATGAGATTTTGTTTACTGCAAATACTTTTTAATGTACCCAAGTGCCCAAAAGTAAAAGAGAGGCTGGATTTATTCTGAAACATGGTCAGGAATTTTAAAACAGGCTTTTRTACACACAGACAAAGGGAGCATGAGAAACAAGAGCTTGTGAGTTACTTAAATGTCAAGGATTGCATTGTACCAGGTAAAACTGAAATGTAGCACAGGGACTCAGTTTCATAAATTAAATCATTGCTGATGGGTACAAATTATATAAGGAAGATGGAAAGAGAAACCGAGGTGGCATTTTGTCAGATGCATTTATAGCTGCAGCAAGATACACTCCAGCTGCAAAGTAATAATAAAAAAAAAAAAAAGAAGAAGGAGGAAAGAAAAACTAAAGTGGACATCTGCTGCAACCTACTCCAGCATCAAGAAAGCAGGAATGAATTAGTCTCTCTTAAGGTACTCAAAGCCACAGAACACTMTACTTGTGAAGAATTTGCTGCCCACATTTCTTTTAACAAGTACCACCAAACCTTGAACAAAGACATTCACCTGTTACACAGAAACCTGCTCTAATCCAGATAATCAAAATCCCCCCAACCCAGGAACTGTAGCACAGAAATGACAAGTGACACCCAGGAACACAGTATCTAAATGTAACACAGTAAAGAGTTTATTYGACTTAGAAAAGGTCTTCTGCATAATTAACCGAACACATATACATTAAATATACAAATGCATATCAAAAGAGATACAGAAGGCACACATTTAGCCAAGAGGCTCCTTCTGAACCACTCACCACCTCAGGCCAGAAAGGCAGAATCATGAGCCCCAGCTCATTACTTTCTGCCCAAAACCAGGACACAGCTGTAGCTCCCATGGTGCGCTACACAGGTCAGCCAAAGASGGTAAGCGATCCAGAGGACAGGCATCCTCACGGGATCCTCAGACTTCCAATGGTATTCCTAAGCATTGCTCTTTGCCCCTCTGACCCACAGCACATTTTATCTGGAGAGCAAGAAAGGTTCATTTTACAGGTCACAGCCTCAGGTTTCTAGCACTGATCAAGAACCACAATTAGCAAAAACTAGTCCAAATAAATGTGATCACCTCACCCAGACTCACTTCTGTTGCCATAGGAGCAGGTAAATAGCTCAAGTTCAGCAGATTTTATCTTCAGGGAAGAACTAGTTCCACCAGAGCCTGAAATCTCTACTCTGGATCAACAAGGCTGCCTGCATCCTCACAGTCATGCTGAGTTTAAGGAGCAGATATTTATCATGCAAAAAAGCAAGTTTGTTCTCTCGAATTAAGTAATTAAGCAGCGTGTGATAAGACTAAGGAATTYTACTAGCCCCTGGAGTCAAGGCATGAGACTGACTTCCATGGAAAGRATTTGAAAATAAGTGAACATTACCATTCAGGAACTGGTGTGGCAACAAAGAAGACAAGCAGATGAGAGACTTCTGGAATGGAGATCCTGTTAGTTGACGAGTTTACAGACAAGAGCTCTGACATCCACCATAGGAAAGAGAAAGTTAAGCACATTAATGCGTAAGCAAGAAGGAAAGGAAGAGCAAGTGAAATCAGCCTCTTGGACTATTTGTGAAGTCACTTCACCCAAGATGAAGTAACAAGGAGATAAAGGACTTCCTGGAAAACCTGACCATATATATCAACACGGTGCTAATTARTTAATTAACCTATTGCACAATTAAAAAATAAATATTGTAACAGCCTGGGAGGACAAGGAAGCACCAGATGACGCTGTTCTTACCAGAACAAAAAGTGGAACAACATCAGCCTAATAAATTTATATCTGATCTTTGCCAACAAAGGGAAATAAATACAAAGAAAGAAAAAAATTCTCCCAAATGTCTGGAGAGTAAGCAAAGTATGGCAAAAATCAAACCACTTCCAACAATCCTACAAACACAGTGAGTAGCTTTTGGCACATGAGCTACACACAAGGTCAACAGGATAACTCAGCTATCAAGTTACTTCTACATCCGAGTGGTGGTGTAATTTCCAACACCTCTTTTTTTTCTCCATTACCAGGAACAATTTTATGAAACACGGCTCATAATATGAGCTGACAAACCCAGCTATAAAACTACAGCTCATTCCCAAAAGGCTATATAGAATATTACACAGAGTAACAAGCATTTAATCCACTGAGTGAAGATGTTTAACACAGGGCACAATACCTTTGGTATTTTAGTGTCTCAAGACATTCTACAGGGTAAAGAGAGTAAAACAGACCTGCTTGCCAATCTAGTTAAATATACCTCAAGTAAAGGCAATTAATTAATCAGTGAACCAATTGAATTGCATTTCATCATCAGCTACAGCTGTTTGAGTGTAACAACCACTACTGCAACTCAGCACCTAAAAGAGTCCTTGGATCAGCTTTTTTTTGTGTTGGGAGAGCATCAGTTGCCTTTACTGTGAATTCATTGTGCACTAAAAAACCCAGATGGTTTCTTTAAACAAAAAGCAAGAAAACTAAACTCGTGTTTTCCTGATGTTTGAAATTTTTYTTGGCAAAATTAAGATCTAATTTTTTTAGGGATCACAAGAGGACTCRCTTGTGACAACAGAGTATGTAATTTAAGTGGCAAGAAAGTGCAGTGAAATGTCAATTTACACATTGTAGAGACAAACACAAACTGTTTCTCCATTCTCTTAGTGAGCAGAACTGGAAAAGGGATAATGAACAAGAGGACAGAAGTGCCAGTCAGATCCATAGATGGTAGCTATGAGTACTGTGAATTTGCAACTTGAAAAAAGTTGTGACTGAGGACGTATATGATATAGGTGTGTAAAATAACAAGGAGACTGTCTTGTCTGACAGTGAAAGAATTACGGTCACTCAAGGAAATCATCAAGAAAACCATTAAAATATCCTGACAGCAGTTCTTTTTCGTACCACACAATGAATTTATGGTTTGTTACCATAGAACACTTTGGAGGCAAAACGTAAAAAAGGTTTTTCAGAAAGGGATTAAGTGCATTCCTTAAGGCCAGGTCCAGAAGGAACTGCTAGAAAGTTCAGAAAGTCCAAAGACCTCTGTACATGCAAGCTTTGTATTTTATGCCTCTGTGATCACCTGTTACAGGCTGCTCTCAGGCAGAACTGCAGATCAGATGGCCTGTGGTCTGATTGCACATAATGCTACTTATGGATCAAAGCCCTCAATTTTAGCATGATTTAGACTTTTGCAAAGGTTAACTTTAAAAAAAAGACATTTGAAAAGCTTGTGTGCCTCCTCTACTTCTACTTTCAATCCTCAACGATGTGYTCCTTAATCATTCAGTTTCCATGAATGGGGAAAGTATTGCTGAATTAGCAACAAAGGATTTAATGAGTCACTGCATTATTGCTCCCAGATCCTGCCCAGTCCCCTTTATTAGGCATTTCTCCTGATCCAGTCTCAACTGCACATTAAACATTCCCCTATATTTCATTGTTTTCTCTTTCTCACATTCTTGCTAAATCACTTTGTTCRACTGCTACATTTGAGACATTAAACAGTTGAGGTACTGATCTGTTGGCCACTTTTAGTTAAACCCTCCTCCCAGACTACTCATTTCTGAGTRGGTAAGTAACAACAAGAATCTACAGGAAGGCTTCTTATGGACAAAGGATTTCTACACTGTCTGTAAACATCCTTATTTCACCCAGAATTTGCCGCTTCAATTGGATTCAGCCTTCCAGCCAGTCAGATCAATACATTTTTGCAGTACAGTAAACAATGCAACACAGCGATTCCAAGTCYGTAGCTAGACAGACTGAAGTAGCAGCACAAAGAAGTCAGAAAATCTCCTGCATTCTGCTGGACACAGAGCAAGCTCTGAGACCTGTCATCACAGTTGTTTTTACACATAAAATATATGTGCACATGGACATATGGACTAATACATTCATCACTAACCCTCATTTAAGGGACCAACCATCCAAAGTCTGCTCTTCACCCAGTAAATGTGCTTTAGCTGGGGGTGCCAGATGCATCCAGGACCTGCAGTGGCTTTACAGATCACTGCATGAGGATATGGCTGTAGGTTCAAAATCAATCAAGAATTTACTGTTCCAGCTTGTTCAGTCTTTAGTTCTCCAGCCAATCCTTCCCAATCAAGATAACACACAGGTGGATTGTTTGTTTTTATCACTCATAGTGGAGTTTGGATTCAGGTTACCTGGAATGAAAAGAAGTTAAAGTAGTGTTAATATTAAGTAAATAACACCTGGATAAAGCTTGGACTCACACTTCACTCTCATTTTTTACTATACACCTTGAGTTAGACTACAGTATTCTGCACTCCCTCATGGCTTTTTTTCTACTGCAGTGAAATGAAGAGACRTTAAAATAAGAGCAAATGCAGAATATATTGTGGAGAAAACCACTGCAGAAGTATTTCCAGGCTTTGGCTTGTACCCAGTCCAGCTTCAGTGGTATCATCAGGTCCCAGCTGGCACTGAAAAACAGTCTGGCCATGCCTTGGGTCGGAAGTTTTCCACAGAGTGAGGTATTGGAAAAAACCTAAGTCAGGACACCTTATCCACTTGATACCTACACACATTCTCATTAGAGGTTTTTTTCACATTTTGTTTCAAACAAATCAAGTGTGAGTATTTCCATCATTGCCTTTGCAAGGCAAATCCAAGACCTCAAGGTCTCTCATAAAGTAGCACAGTACGCTGCCTCCATTTTTTATAATCTTAGATTTTCGTCATGACTTACTCTATTAACTTCTTCTGCTCCCAGTATCTGTACCTTTCAAGCCTTACACTTCTGTCTGGTATCCTTCATTACAGCCAGATATTGATCTGGATGCCCCAGCATAATATTTTCATAATATACATACAGAAGTGTATTCTTAACTTTTGCAAGTAAAGGAGCTCATCTGTGCTCTGAGCTCAGCAAAGCTGGCATTGCTATAGCCCAGGGTAGCAGGTACTGAGAGGGGCTGCCATGTGGCTTGGAGTCACTCTGAACAAGGGCAGGCCCTGCTCATGTATTTGTACAGAAGTATCTATTTGTACGTGTGCATCGCTCAAGCAGTTGGAGCCAGATGCCAGTTCAGAGTGAAAGCAGAGAGGAAAAACTGCCACAGGTCATGGTGACATGCCACTGAGAAGTCTCTGCCTTGCTAMGTTTAGGGAGCATTCAACCCAAGCACYAYCTCTGAATTTGGCTTCAAGTGAGTRATTTTTAATGTCCCTCTCTTGCTTRTGGGTATTTGATCAATGCTATCCTTACCTGTAGGTGATGGGGAAGAGAAGAGCTCTCTCCTCCTCCCCCTCCTTCCTCTCCATTTTCTTCCACACTGCATCTTCTTGATGTTCACATGAGAGGTTGCACTGCAACMTGTCCTCACTTCTGTGGCTGCTCTGTGTGCTACTGCCGCCTCCCCACATTCTGCATGTTACTACTAAGTTTATAATTACTCCTATCTCTTCACCACTCTTCTTCCCTGCCCTGTCTGTATCACATTCAAGACCTGCATGTTTACTTTCAAAGATGTATATGCTCCTCTGCTTAATTTCAAATCCCAGCCCCTTTATTCTTTTCACTTTCTACTCTTGTCTTCTGACCTTTTTCTGCATATCCCACTACAGGTAGAGCAAACACCCACCTCGTACGTACCCAAGAATATTTCCCTCTTTTTCTTTATAAAAAAGGATGAAAATTCCTATTACTAGCCTTCCATGATCTCACTGGCTGAAAAACACTGGTAAGCAGCTATTTCAATGCCATTGCAGCACCCAGATTAAATYCCATTTCTTGTTGCAAGAAGCACACAAAACTGAAACACAAATTCCTGCTACTGATGCCAGAATGATTTTTGCCTTTCTTTTATATATTCTCTGCATCCTTTACACATATATTTGTAGTCTMTTGTTGTATTAGTGGCTATTTTTCCCAGCAGTTCTCCCTACTGTTTCCCGAGACAGAAAGACAAAACACATTCCAAGACMCCTGTGCTATCTTGGTTCTCCTTAGAAACCAAGGTTGAGACCAGCTCTTTGAGACMTATTTTTCATTAAAAAGTTCAGTCTCAACCTAAGGGAGGAGGATTCAAAGAGGGTTCAACTGGGGGAAATAACCTCACCTCCTATGTCTCTAATCAGTGATTTTTGTCAAGTATATTAATCGCTAAACTTATAACAATGTAGTCAGCCTGTGGGGGGATTTGGGGTGGGCTTTTGTGGACATTTTCCATATCTGCCCCTGAAGGCCTCAAATAAAGACCAGCTTTTATATTATCTCCTGTACTAATATTATCTTGAAAGTCTGTTGTTTTATTTCTAGGGTCTGTAAGGCATCACTAGGAAGTATATGTATTCTGCAACCATCATGAGGAGTGAAGGCTGATGTATGGAGCAACTCAGCACAGCAGACCCTTCTGAAGTCTACTTTGCTTCTTCCAAGGGAAAACACTAAACAGAAAGTCAGTACCTTCTGAAGGCATGCACCTTTCAGGTTTTTGCAGTATTTCCCAGAAACYGCACACAGAGGTCACTGTCTTGCTGATCACAGTCTGACCAGCACCAGCTTAAAATTAACAAGATTCTGGTCAGATTCAGAGCTGCTCTTGTGTTCCTAGGCAGGCAACAATGAAATTCAAGAGTTCTGTCAATCTGATGATGTAGTTTGAGAAGGCTTTGCAAAACAAAGTAGAGTTTCCATGCAATGTGCTGGGACAACGCCTCAGGGTGTTAATTCAGGTATTTAGTTTAGGACATTATTATCTGTAGTCCTTGTATTCTCCAGACTCCTAATTCTAATTTATAAGTATCCTTTCCTAGCATGTAAACACAACATCAGATTTTCAGATTCTATCACAGTGCACACTTCATAATTTCCCATACCAGTTCAGATTTTCTTCATCACCACGTGCACCTACAAGACTGAATCTGACTTTTAGCCTGCTTGAATGATGTCTTTCAATTACTCTATGAGCTACTTGGGTGTGGGTCTGGGCTCTGCACACATTTGCAAGGTGGGATGTGTCTCTGTGGTACTAGAGAATTAATAGTGACTTTGGAGGATATGTGTGCATGTAGGCCCATGGGGCTTAAGTGYGCTGTTTAATCTTTCCAAAGGGTAAGGGCAGCTATTTCAAACTGTGAAGCTCTGAATAATTGCATACTAACCTGCCTGCATACAAAGTACCTTTTCCTCCATTTCCACTTCCTACCTTCTGTCAGCTGGAGTATCACAGCATTAGTTTTTACTAGCTTTGCTCAGAGACAACTTAAACTTGTAAAACTAAGTCAGCCCTATAGCTACCCAACAACAAAGTGCCTCCTATCTTTATACTGAAGCTGGAACTGTCTTCCATGTCTACGTTCAAAACTTTTTTATTACATCCTAATGATGTATGTGCTACTGATCAAGTAGTTGCAGGATCTTCTGGGTAACTATTTTTTTTCTTCATGAGTCTCCATCTACCTAATATGCCCTCTACCATCTCTGTTCACCCGCCACTTTGGGACTATTAGACTAGAGAAGCTTTCTCTCAAGAACAGTAATTTAATTCAAAAGCAACACACAMGCCATGATCTTCCTCCAGCCTTTTATGACACCAGATGGCCAAAGTCTACTTACACCACACTTCAAAAGCTTTGGAGTTTCCCACTGTCACCATGAACAGGCATTCTCAATTTGCATAAACCAAAAATACTGGCAAGGACTCACGGGAAAGATTTATCAGGTCAGAAAAAGTACAGGGGGAAGGCTGGTGTGCTGGACTTAAGCACCTTCCCTGGACCTCATTGAAAAAGTTGTCAGTCTGCAGGAAGTAACAGTGGCAGTAAATAAAACCTGAACTAATAGCATGGTAATRTTTTTGTGGAAATGGTCTGGACCAAGCATCAGACTGTCTGGCACAGATGCACTGTGTTAAAAGGAAGAGGGACATCCCTGCTGCCCAGTGCAATGCCCCAGCAGGGTGCAGTGCCTCACTATTCACCCAGAGACATCAATCTCTCCCACGCWTTAAGCTGGGCCTAATTTCACCCCGACATTGTGGGAAAGCCAGGCTGGCTGCTCTAAAACAGGTGACAGTGAGAATCTCTGATACTGCAAAGTGCTGATGAATCAGATATTACACAATTCCCTCATTCTGTCACTAGAGGGTAGTGCAAGCCCTCAGGTCCATTCCTGCGAGAGGAAATGCCCATATATCTGCGCACAGGTCTTCACTGATTTTTGTTTTCCTGGCTTTGAGGAATGGGGCACACCAGCATACTGTCTGTGCTCAACACTGACACTTGAAGAGAGGACCTCTTTAGACCAGGGTTTACTTCCACCTCCCCAAATGCCAAATACAGATCCTAAAATAGATCTACTAAAGTCTTAAATAAAGACATTTATTTATGTCTTAAATAAAGACATTTATTTAGCCATGCCTTCTTAGTCTGTTTTGTGTTCATCTGGCATTTTTGACTCTGTCCTTCATTCAGCCAGAAATATTTCCAGGAACCTAATTAATCAGTGTTGTTGAGCATCCCAATACCCTGCTTTTCTTCTTGGTCTCAAGAGAATGTCTTTCCATTTCACATCATAGTAGTTGCAAAGGAATTCAGTCTCTCTACATCTGCATTTTGCATTCATCAGAGCACAGAATGGTCTCTGGCCAGACTAGTGGAGGAAACATTTTCTCTTTGGAACTAACTTGTTTTCCTGATGGAGCAGGACGTATTGACACCCAACACAGCTCACTGAGAGAAAGACAACCAGGCTGAATAGTCCAAAGATKACTTCAATCTCACAAAACATGTAAAATGTTGTGGAGCTAGCTATGAACTCATAAACTGGTAGAAATCTTATTATTTGTGTCTTCAACTGATTGAAGACTTGGAAGGATTTAGTGAAAATACCAATCATGCGTTAGCAAAGAAGCAAAAGTTGAGATCTAGGGATCTACTTCCTTGTAGCTTCCATTTTCAGGACCTTTTCCCCCCTTTTCAGAAGGTGGTAAAGGAGCAAATAAAAAAGACTTGCACGCTTTCCTCCACTCTTTGTCCCCTCACCTCAACATATACAYATTTCTCTCTTTTCTCCACCAGGAACTTGTCACAGTAAATACACCTGACTAAACGTCAGGGTATTTCCCTCAGGAAAGGAGGGATTACACTGAAAATGTGTCTATGGCCAGCTAGCAACTACAATAGTGAACACAGTGCTGCTGTTTATTAGGGAAATGCATTCCTGAACTGAGCACTCTGTTTTACATAAGGCAATGTTCACCTTTGTTGCTTAGAAGTACAAGAAACCCCCACAGGAGAAGTACCACCTGTACAGTAAGCCTGCCATTAAATAGCTTTCAACTTAAATTGCCTGTATCTTTTGATACAACTTCTACTCTTTGATCTCACTCGTTTTGATACAGAGGAAATAAAAGGATCTACTCACAAGTGCCTATAGTGGGAATGTTTGCATCAATCAGCCAAACTCAGAACAAGGGGCACAAGAAAGCAGAATATGCTGATAAGAAGTTTTACCTGAGTTGCCTCCAGTGCTCCGAACACTAGCATGGCCAATGCTGAGCCTCTCATATTCCAGTTTCATGTTCCCTAGGTCTTCTCCTGAATGTCCTTCGCTGGCAAAAGAATTGGCCTCAATGCTTGAGCCCGGAGACCGTTTGGCCTTGCGACTGAAAAGCCCACTGGCAAACCGTTTTCCTTGCTTTGCATTGGTCTGTGCATCTTCTTTCTTTATGTCACGAATAGACTCTCTGGATTTGGATTTATTTTTCAGATCCATGTGGAGCCGGGACAACAGTTTCTGGGGGCTCCGATTCAGCTTGTTCACGTTCTCCAGAGGTGGATCTATTTCTGGAAACACTTGCTCCAATGTGACTAAGTCATTCAGGAACTGATTTAACCTTTTCTTTGACTCACTTGTTTCCTCCTTTTCCGTGTTTCCTTGATTATCTTGCCTGTGTCGTGAAGCCCAGAGCATTATATCACCACGAGTTGCTCCTGCAACTAAACCATACTTGGGGTTAATGAACTTCCGAGCCACAGTGGAGGAATGAAGGCCTGGCTTCCCAATTCCAAGATGGAATGGGTTAGCAATACCCAGCTCCTTGTATAAATTAACTTCCTCTGAGATGGCATAGAGCTCACGAAACTCAATGTCAAACATCTCCACGTGCTGTCCTGTCAAGACCAGTAGGATGTTTCTGTCAATGTGGGATGAAGTCCATGTGAAGCTGGGAGGAGGAAACAGAACCAACATGAGATTTTGGGGTGCATACTTGAGCCAGCCCACCTAACAAAACGTAAGACACTACATGGGAATATGTAGCATTGTGCCATTTCCCCATATATCCATGGCAAGATAGAACACAATAGATACGTGACACAACATCATTGCTCTTTAGACATGCAGACAAGATCTGGGAAAAAAGGCCCTGAAACTCTGAAGGACAGCCTTACTCTTTTAAAAAAGCAACACTCCATCAACAGGAAGAGTCTCTGGACTGAAAACCTCACTGAAGAGAACTGAGTACCGAGACTGGCACACCCTTCTCTGATGGAGTGTGAAACTGTGTCCAGMAGTCTGAAATGGTCTGTCAGCATAGATATGTTCCATTCTCTGAGCAGGGCTCTACGCCACCTTCTCTGTTGTCCTACTCCAGTTTCTACACATGCCACACAGATTGCAGAGCTGAGATAAGGAAGGGGGTGACATGGGAAGAAGTCTCTCAAGCAAAGTCATGGCCATTCTTTAAATCAGGACCTTAATGCCTTAAGAGCGACCCACCTGTATGATCCAGTGGCCACCTTTTCACCGTCCACCATCAGGAATCGGGATGCCAGTGTGCCTCTGATCTTCCCTGATGGCATGTAGAACCCGACTCCTGTCACAGAACGTATGCGGATATTCTAGCAGGGAGGTGAAAAGACAAAATGTTACAATAAATAGGGCAGAAAATTGGATAATTGCCAGCTCCGAGTCTTAACTTGTCACTCACAGTATCTCACTACTTCTGGGACTATAGCTCATTTAGTATCAGCCACCAGAAAGTCTGCAAAAGGCAAGCATAGTGCTGAAGTCCTGTTGTCATCCCCTGTCTGCACAGGTCACTCCTCTCTATCAGTTTATAGCCCTGTCCAAGGGGTCAGCATCATCAAAACCCTGTGCTATCTTCAGCTATTCACTTGAGCCCACTGGTGAGACAACACTGTCAAGAAGTGTCTCTACTAATGTCCTGGATAGGTCAGCGAGGAAGAGTTTCTGAAGAAGAGGAAGGAAAATCTTTCCATAAAATGAATGGAAGTAGTTAGAAAAAGAATACCTCTCCCCAAACCTCACATCTCACACCCTTTGGTCAGCAAACCTCCAAGGAATAAAACAAAGTACAATAAATAACAGAAAAAACACAGAGTTAAGGTTACATGATTTTCAACAATAGATGTGTGCCTGTGCATACTGTAAGGATATATTTGCAGTGTTACTCTGCTCATGGGTCCTGGCTGCACAAGGYTGACCTGCCAAAGTGTCTAACATGAAACATTTCCCCCTCCCCTCACCCCAAACCAGAAGCAACCTGAATGTCAGTATAAGTTTGGAGCAAATTATCTTGTCATTCTGATGCACAAATATAGACAATTTCCTTMATTCCATCATCTTTTTCTGTAAGGGTTCCTTAACAATGAAAAGCTAAAAAGATACTGTGAACTGGAGTCATAAATCCAGGGCTGGGAGTCAGATAGTCCCAAGCCTAACTACAGTTCTGATACTATTCCCTGTGATGTTCTGGGAAAGTCAATTCACCTTTGCTTCATTGTTCCCCCATCTGCAGAGCAGAAGAATCAGGAGGATTTGACTAATTCTAGCACAGCCTCAGATTCCATAAAGAGCTAAGTCCTATTACTATAAATCTCACTGACAGCTTAAATATTGATAGGATATAGAAATCAGCACGCAGGAATGAGTGATTATGAGAATGCAGATTTCTTTCAAAAGCTGTTTTTCTGAATATAACTTTTACCTCTTGAATCTGCTCCTATTTCCCCCACTAGAATACAGCAGTGGAAATAAAAATTCTGACTAACAGTAACTGATGATACTACTGTTTTGCATTCAGCTATTACTTGATCTGTCTGGAGCCCTGTGTGGGCATTAGCTAATTAATGCTCCCAACAATGCTGMAAGTATTATTACCCGGTTTTAAAGTTGAGGAGTCTAAGATAGCTAAAGATGAAGTGGTTTGCCCAAGGCCTAGCAGTGAGTCATACGTGTGGGATGCTGAATGCAGGTTGGGTAGAGCACAGGAGAAAGGGTGCCCTTTCCAGGAGTTAGAATAACATTTGTAGCTGGCTGGCTGATCACCTGAAATAATTGTTTTTCTTTGCTGATTAATGTTGGATGTGAGATTTGCCAAATCATGATATGCTGACTGCATGAAACAAGAAGTCAGTCAACAGCTCTGACGTGCTCGTACCCCTGTGAATCAAGAAGTATCAGCCTGTGCAAGCAGGAAGTTTCCCAGCATATAACAAGTGTGGATTTTATTGTTTGTATGTTCTATCACCTTCATTTGGTGGAAAGAAAGCACACTTGAATTTCTGCAGTCGCTGAGCTGCACATAACACTTAAAAAGCCACAGAGGGGGCAGAACTGAACAGCTGAGCACGTAAACMTCCTTGAATAAAAGTAGGTACAGGAGTGCATTAATGCATCTTGAAATGCAGAAAACAAGCACCAAGTCATATAAACATCAAGTCACTTAACAGGTTATTTGTATAATATTTCCTGCCTTGAAGGATCTTGGAGCACTCRTAGACTGCTATATCGAGCTGTATAGAGGAAGAATGAGCTCAGGTTTGTGTACCGAAGACTGCACAATAACAAAAGAGGAAAGACAAGTAYAAATGAGGTGAGATTGCCGGCATTTTCAGAGGGCTCTAGAGTTACAGGAGCAACAAATATTTTAGGTAGAGAACCAGCTAGCTCACCAGATACAAATGATCCCCTCAGATCTGTATTGTTGCAGAAGCCTGCTTMAGGTTTGTTTTGTCACTTGCTGGCTTATGGGAGATGCAGTCTGCATTAAATTTCCATATTTCCTTTCCACAGACTTGCACCAATCCTCATCACAAGCAGTGACTAACATCTCCCTGGCTGCAACTTAACATGGCTCGTAACAGTCAAGCCTGACAGAGCATCCTAATACAAACAGCAAGGAATTGGTTTCCTTCGCTTTATTGTGACACACTTTTAAACCTCATCCTGAATCCACAGAAAGCTAAATTAGACCCAGTTTAGAAAGTCAGTAATGCTCTGACTGACTTGACAGAGCTAGGGTGTAGTGCTTACAAACTGAGGCTGAGTAGGGGGGATAACACTTGACAACATAGACCCTAAAGGGAGGCATTTTAAGTGCTTCCACCAGGGAATCCTGTGCATACCTTCTCTCTCAGAACAACTGCTGGGAAATACTGTGGACTTATCCTATGTGGTGGCCCTGAATCATTTTGGAAAAGGCATGTTTATTGACAATACAGTGTAACTTGCAAGTATTCAAGTAGAACAGGATGGAATGCAGCCAGCTGGGACACGGCCTGCCAAGATCACTACTGAGTATTATCTATTTGTGTCTTTACAAGAAGAGAGCCTTGTAAGGTCCCATTTTCAGAAGGCCACAAGCAGCCTAGAAGAGTGATGTAACAAACCATTTAAAAACCAACAGCACTGCATTGCATCACGTTACATTCAGCACCTCCCTCATTTGAGGTAGGAATCAATGACGAAAACCATAAAATACTGAAAGGATATTCCAGAGTTTCTTAGGCAGAAACTTTTTAGACTTTCGGAAGTGGGATAAGAAACGCCTCACATGTTGGAAAATGAACGCAAAAATTAACATGAAGGTGAACTTCCTGCAGGTCAGTAATTCCCTGGGCTTGCTCAGAACTCTAGGAGAACTCTCTCTCTTTGGGTAGCAGTGTCTATTACTGTGGTCTGGGTTAACAGAAACACGAGAAGAAAGAGCACTTATCTAAAAACTGGTGAGAACCATCACCCTCAGGTCGTGAAAAAAAGAGGGATTTTGGAGGGGCTATGAATTTTGCGTCCATGAGAACTCTGACTGGCTRTGATCTCTGAAGAACACTCTTGTGTCAAACATAACAGAAGTGTGACAAACCATGTTCTGTAGGCTCAGGAAGCCATATGACTCATACACACAAGACATGCACAAACAAACAACCCATGAACATTCTGATGGTTGAATTTAAATACATTTCTAGTGAACTCTGGCCTTCAGACAAAAATGMAAGTTTTCWAATTTCATTCTTGGAGGTGGTAAAGAACTTCTACTCTTCWCAGGGTGAGGTACTGTCTTCCTACAGTAGTTTCCCTCCCATGAGACTGTCAGCAGATCATGATACCTTGCCATCTCTACAAAAATAATACAATAGCCAGGAATTTTGTGAAAACRCCCATCACTGTACATAGACAAAGGGCAAAATCCAGAGCTAACAGTAAATCTCCCAGAATTAGAACTGTTGAAATATCCCCTCTGCACTGGATGAACAGGGCAATGGGACCAAAAGGGCAGCAAACACAGAACCAAATGAGTATCTGGTGGTGACAGAAGACAGAATAAACATTTTGACCCTGCAGCCCAAGGCAGTGTACCATCTCTCTCCCCATGGGATCATGGCCAGGTTGAGAACTGGCCTCTCAACCTTAGAGTTATATCTCATGTGGCTCCAATTTCTTGAAGAAAAAAGCCATCCTCTGYATCTTGCACAAGCATTCCAAAGGAAAGGTGGGAAGAAGGGCAGGAAAGAATAGTATGCAATTCTTTTGCTGGTAAACTATGTCTGGTGAAAATCTTCTAGAATAAAGCAAAATGATAATGCAAAAAGGAGATAASATTTTCCCTGGTGTTGAAAATCTGCAGAAGAAACTCAGACATCAAAGCAGATGTTGGGAGAAAGACCAGTAGRTAAGAAATGGGTTAAGGATAGAGTTAAGTCAGGAATTTCAATATCCCCCATGATCAAACAATGCAGGACAAAATGATTCTGCCTGAATAAGACTGGAGGCCCAGCTTGCTTTCCTGCTTTAATCTGGACCTTCAAGCCTTGGCATCTTACACCAGAGAGGAAGGGCTGGGGGGAGTCCTCAAGGGGAAGCCTTAACCTTGCTCGAGCTTCCTTGGGTATCCAAAGTCTGTGATGGTTTCTGCTACAYTGACCCAAGCAACAGCATAGGTACCTCCAAGGCAACCATGGGTGGGACACTGAGAACATCTCCTTGAGAGGCAATTGACTCCCATTCCAGGAAGAATYTCCCTAGTTATTCCATAGAGCCATGTACAGGAATTAACTACATTGAACTTAGCAAGACTAACAAAAACCTAGGCCACACTGGAAAAGAAATAGAACAACCTTCAGGGGAATTTAAGATCCAGTATGGGATACCTGGGAAAGAGGGGGAAAATTTGAAGGAAGCAATCTGTGGGYTGAGGTTCCACAAAAATAGTGAACAGCTAGGTCAAAGAATGCTAAAAATTTCTTCTCAGTGGACCTCCTTCAACTCAGCTTGTACTAYTTTTAGCTGAAGGAGTCTGATGGATAACATAGTGTGGGGCTGCTATGAAAGAAGGGAATCACAGAAGGGACACTGAAAAGTTTTCACCTTGTTTTGATTGCATCAGTTCAAAGTGCATCTCCTTGGAAAGGGTCACAAAACTAGACTGCAGCAGGACCTAGRCACTGCTGTTGCATGTCACTGTGRTAACTGGTTTAGGAGTGTAAAGTCYGTGTAGATTCCTATGAGAAAGAGAAGAGGAAGAGCAGAAGGGGACCGCTTACTGTTTAGAGACAGAAAAGACAGACAAAAAGCAACTCACCTCTCCAATAGCATCACAGCTCTTTCTAAAATGCCAGGACATCTTTTCATTCACTCTGTCCAGGAGTTAAAATACGCAGTACTGAAGACATGATGGCATAGTGAGAAAAGTACTGGGAAACCGGTACTAGAGCAAATGGAACTACTGCTGTGATTTCCCAGTTATGTACCAAAGAGACACAAGCCTAGGAAACACAATACCACTGGCACTTGAAACAGGTCTGTTATAATGATGTCTGTGTCTTGCTTTCAAAGACACCAGAGAAAAGGAATTTCCATCACTGTTTTGGAGAAAGATGAGAAAACTTCTCAGCTGGATGTCTTTTTTGACGAAACTCAGAGCAGAGTGGTAGTTCACAGGATCACTATTCAGATATATGCAGGTAATTTTCATCCAGATTTAAGATGGTTCTCCTAATATGATTAATATGAAACTCTATAATCTTCAGAGCTTTTTGAGTTTTGGTTGTGTTTTGGTGGTTTTTTAACTATTAATTGAGTGTTTATGGAAGATCCACCCTTCCTCCAGGCAAGGAGGCACTTTTATCCCCCTGCCACTGCTCAGAACAATTGGATCACAAAGAGGGGTGAGTCTGGCATCCCACAGGTTGTTTCCAACCTAGCAACTTTTTTCCRTATTGAGAACAAGTCTATAGTAGCAACAGTGACTAAAAAGATGGGAAAAAAGCAAGGAATAAAATACTAACAAGAAACACACAAAGGATTTCAGTCTGTAGGTAATAGATTGAGATCCCTCTGAGGCTGCTTCTGCCAACCAAGCTAGACTGATTTCTGTGCTGCATGCACTGTGTGAAAGCACACACTGATATAACACCAGGCAGAAGCTGTGCCTCTCAATCCCTTAAATTCTCCTGCAAAGGAGGACTACAAGCTCATTCACTCCTGGATGATCGTTCTTGGAWAGGAAAGTCTTGATTTCACAAGGTTTTGTGTCTTATACTGGTATGCGTCCTATAACCAGGATCCATGCAGATTCCAGCAGCTCAGAGCTACTCCAGACTGTAGTTTTAACCCTCACAAAGAAGATCTGTAAGAATTTCCTCCGATCATTTTTCCCCAAAGAGGMATTTTTAGGTCACAAGAGCCAAGTAACAGATCCCTGTCTTGGGTGAAAGGAAAAAAATCCAAATCTTCCCTTTTTCTTTCATTCTGTATTTTCAAGCCCCCTGTCTAATACTTCTGTGTTCCACCTAGTTCCTCTCTAGGTCCTGTGATATAACTCATAGAGAGGAAGAGATGTGTCTGCCCATCCAAGCAAGTTCCAAGATTCATTACAGCAGCAAAAGGCCATTGACCTGCAGGAGATTGTGGCTCAGAATTGGATATCTTACCCGAATCTGCATGTCACTGAGGTCAAGACATCTGCACATTTCCAGGAAAAGCTTCGCACCTTCCTCATCTAGGATTATATAGACTGGGATCCAGCGCTTGTATGCCGCTTCAACAATATCGCGGAAGATGTCCCGGTCTGTAAACACATCCATGACCACTGCAATAATCTGGAAACAAGAAGATGGTAGACAGACAAATGAATAAAATATTAGGAACTGAAAGGAAGGCCTGCTCCACTGTCACAAAATAAAAGAGAGCACTGATACCAGATTATGGTGGAGAAGCCTATAGGGGAGACAAAAGTACAGGGATGTACATGCCCAAGCACTACCAATAACTGTAATTTTCTGAGCTAGCTGCTGCACTTTGGAAGGAACTTAGTCAATGTCTGTGAGAGCTCTCCTTCTTCTAGGAGATGACTTATCTCAGCAGCCTGAGGAGTGCCAAAGCCAAACACCTAGTTTTTCCTTTGTATTGAGAAACTTTTGTTGTCTCTGTAAGGATTCACTTAAATGAAGAACACTGAAAATACATTGAAAAAAAGTCTGAAAACACAACTTTAACACTTAACCTGAAGGTATGTAGTGGGAAGAAAGAACGTGCAGAGGAATTAGGGCCTGAATCCTCAGCCACAATGCATAATGCAGACAATGTGATTTTTATTTTCTTTTGTTCCCCCAATTCCCAGTGAAAAGTCTGATCTCAGGGCTGGCTTCCCAAGGAATGATTTATAAAGCTCAAACATAAACACTTCATTTTTCTCAGGAAGGGACTGAAGTGTGTTCAATATCTGGAAGTAAAATGATCATTCCCTCTCTTCACATGTACTGTTTTTCTCGTACAAAACTAATCCTTCTTTCCAGGCATAGATTTTACATAAAAACAGAAGGTTTCATTGACATGAGAGACAAGCCTGAACATTTATAGGATGAGTAACAACAAAACCAAGAAGCTTATGGGTAACTTTGATGCTGATCTTACACAAAGGGAGAGAAAGACAAAACACGTCTCTTTAACACCATTAGAAATAGCAATTCACTTTTCTACCTGAAAGAGCTATTCTTCCCAACATTTGAAAGGTTATCAATGAAGGAAATTACTGTTTTCTTAGTCTCTCTGTGTAACATCAGTTTGCAAGGTCAGAGCTCTCATGCTGACAGTATGCTGGGAAYAGAGTTGCCTAAATTTTAATTTCCCAGGTGCTCAGCATCACAGTAGCAAGCCCAGCTGTGCAGGTGTGAATGGAGCTAAATAGTGAATCAAACAGCAGGATTTTCTTCACTTGAGGCTTGGAAAAGTTGCAGCTCTCTTGAAGAAGCTCCCTAAGGAAGGGGCAATAATTGTCCCCAGAGACCTCTTTTCTATAAAAAATGCCCTTGAACAAATGGCTTTTGGGAAAGTGATGCCACAGTATACGTCCCCCACTGTGTCTGCTGAGTCTCTGCTTGTACAGCCAACAACAACCAGCACATCTGCTCCGTCAGGCTCCTTCTGTCAACAGTGCTTACACCAGCTTCTCTTTGTCAGAAAAAGAAAAAAGAGCTGACAGTGTATTTATGCTCATCATTAACATTTAAGTTCCTGATCCAGGTGAACTGTGGTAGAGCTACATTGTACTTAGTCCCACAGCAATTTCTACTAGGCAGGATTTCAGGTCCTGCCTTGGTTCTCCCTTCTCAGCAAGATGCAGGGAATATTACCAGAACCTCTGAAAATTAAAATGCAGYGAACTTGTGCCACTTTATTACTGAACAACTTCATATACAGGCAAATCATAATTAAAGGCATAAACAGTTCATGCATTAACTCAGGCCTGTTATGCTCCCTCTGCCCCCACACACAGTAGTATGGATGTAGTTATATAGGAGCAAGGATGCCAGATAATATTAATTTGAACTAAGAAGATCCACATAGGGAATGGATARGAGAAGCATAAACTTCTTCCCATCCCTTTCACTTGCAATGAGTGTAACGACTGCAGAATTTACATCCTATCCTGGATAAACAATTAACTGTTAGCACCAACTTTGCAATGARAAGGGACGGTTCCTTCCAGCTGTGGGGCCCTTGTTCATTTTGGGCTTCTTTGCAAGAGTGTGGACCACTGAAAACAGCAGTCAAAACTTGCCACGGGCAATGCCTGTTGTTGTGTTTGCCATCTCAACCCCCTGTCACAGCTGGTGATCTGTCAAGATCACCTAGCAGTGTTCTCAAGTACTGCAAGTCAGAGCATGAGTGTCTATTCCTGCAAGAGGTTTTCCCCATTTCTCTTACTATCCTATGGATAATAAATTTATCTTTAGGGCCCATAGGTGTGCCTAGCTCTTAACAGGAATTTTAAGATTGGCAAGTTAATGCTTGCTAATCTCATTGCAGCAAGGTAGCTTAATTAACATGTGTTTGTAAAATACTGACGACAAACCACCCACAGCCATGTGCCACATATTACCAGTATCTGTTTAGACCCCCCTCGGGAAAAAAAAAAACCAAACCAAACAAACCCCCACTCTCATCTGCTGACTAAAAAGCTCCTACCTGGAGACATTTTTTTTTTTTTTTCTGCCAGGGCCAGCTCAGCTAAACACAATAGGCATAGTTATCTATGAAAAGGACCATTAAACACTCAAATGGCTGTTAAACATGAAACCAGCTTTGGGCTGGGAGGGGCACAGTTTGTCCAGTTAGTGAAAAAATAAAAATCTGCAAAGGAATTAATTATTTCTAGGTGCCAGGCACAGCTATTGAGATAAACAAACTTTCCCAGTTCWTGCACGGTCTATAGAAGCCTTTGTGGTAGTGCAAAGAGGATGTGAAGTCACACTACATTGGAGTGTAAGGATTTTACAGCTTCTGTCTTCTAAATGACAGATCACACCAGTCACTGAACAGAATTACAGGGTGTTCACAATTTCTGAGAGCAGGGAGCTGAGAAGATCACCCGCCAGATTAATGCCTCTCTGGAAAGTTTTCTCTGTTTCCCGGCAGATTCGTTTTGAACAAGTCTGTAAAAGTTGTCCATTTAGTGTATGCTGGCAGAGGGCAGCAAGTGGAGGGAGAAATAGCTGCTGAATTAKAAAGCAGAAAAACCAGAAAGCTGCAAAACTAAGCACAGGAATGAAGTTTCTGACACTGTTTTCCCCTTTACCCAAGGTGTGTGTCAACTCTGACAGGGATCTTTTCSTAAGTGGTCTTCCCCGAGAATTTCACCCACATCCGGGGTGGGTGACAAAACACCTCGTCATTGCCCCCACCTGTTCAACGCAAGCTTTTGTAGCATCATGGCTGGTTTGTTTCCTTGCCAGAGTTGTCCTTCACCACCAGCAGTCATTTCCAGACAAAGATAAATGGGAGGAGCAGCCACACATTGTCTGCACTTTAGCTACTTGCAGTCCAGGCTGGATAGTGTGGAAACCAGAAAACAYCATCCCATAAACACACGCTGCCCTGTCTTTAACTAGGGATACCTGCACACACCGGAGGGGTGGCTGTAACAGCATCATGGCCCACCTTCCTCTGAGCCCGCAATGAGGCCGGCACAGGATAACGTACCAGGGTATGAAACCAGGGGTACAGAAACCCCGACTGAGGGGAGGTGGAGAGGGTGTGCAGAGTATTAACCCCATCACAGGCATCAGCTTTGGCGAAGMGTAACACGACTGGCAACAGGGCGCAGGGAAAGCCCCGCGTGGTAGACGCCGACCATTGTATGGCCAACGCGCTCCTCCTGCCTTGGAGGGAGGGAGCCCGGCCGCGGCGGCTCTCCCCTGCCTTACACCCCACAGCCCGGGCCAGCCCCCCGGCCCGGGTGACGGCGGGCAGGGCTGGCCCGTCGAGGGTCGGGCCGTACCTTCTGCGCCTGCTGGATCATCTCCCGCACCACCTCCTTCAGGTGCGGCGCGCTCTCCTCCTTGCGCGGGTGCGTGAAGAGGGACACCCGGCTGATGCCGCGGTAGAAGGTCTTGTCGGTCCAGCCCAAGTCCAGCGGGGGCACCTCGGTGTCCGAGCACTCGGGCCAGTAGGCCAGCGAGAGGGTCTCGCCGCCGGGCCCCCGCGCCACCTTGCCGCCCTCACGGGGGTCGTCGTAGCCCCGCCAGCCGCCCCTCAGGTCCTGCAGCTCCCGGCCGGAGAGGAAATCGCGGAGCTGCTCCTTCCTCAGCGCCTCCCGGTACGCGGCCTCGCCGCGGGTCACCAGCGCCTCCAGGGCTCGGCGCTGCTCCTCGCTGTAGTAGAAGCGGGCCTGGGCCTCTGTCACCTTTTCGTTGACGTGCAGCTCGTCCAGCAGSAGCACCTGGGACTCCGCCATGCCGCCGGCAGCCCCAGCGCAGCGCCGGCCGGGAGCGAGGGCAGGAGCTGCGGCAGGAGGGAGAGGCAGGGCCGGGACCGCCTCACCTGGCCTGCCCGAGCCCGCCCCGACGGGTGGGGCGGCCGCTCCCCCGGGCCCTGGGGACACGGCTGTCACCGCCGCCCTTCCCCTCTCCCAGACCCCTGCGTGGCCCCGGCACGTACCCACAGGGATACGAGTTGCGGAGAGAAGAATTTCTGGGAAAAAAAGAGTAGCCTGACCTAAGMGGTGCAGAATGCGATGGAAGGGGAACAGTGGGATAAAGGGAAGAGAGTGGTTGTGTGGCGGCCTAAATCAGCTTCGGAGGGATGTGGGTTAGAGATCTTTAACTAACTTTGGAAATTGTATCCTCGGAGTGAACTTGGTGAATTGAAATGGGAAAACCGCACCTCTGAGGAAAGACCCTCACCCACTGAACACATGAATTTGGAGTGCCCTGTACCTTTAAACCGAGGCAGGGAAAGAGAAGGCAGTAGTAGCTTAGCCAGCTAGTGATGTAGATTCATTATGCAAATGTTGCTTGAATAGGATTGTATAAATATGCTTGCATATGTATACATTGTACATGTATGTATAAATATACTTCCTAGCTTTGTGGATTTACCACTTTGCACCCATCTCTGCACAGACATTAAATAAAATTGACTATTTCAATTTCTGTGTGGATCAGCTTCCCCACCAGGTGAAGGAACTCAGACTTGGGACAACACCCTGGCATGGCTGGCACCAGCATCCTGACTACAGTGCTTGGAGGAGAGCCTGGGCCATAGGTGTATTTTGGGGTACAAATGCCAAAATCTATTGAAACCTTCCCCCCCCCCCCCTTCCCCCCCCATATTTTAGTCTTGGCAGCCACCTTGGCAGCACATGAGGTGGTGGGTGGGGGCTGAGGGGAGGGGACACGACTGGGGCCAGGGAGGTGGGCAGAGCACCATGGTGGCCACAGGCAGTGAGTGGCCTGTTGGCTGCAGTCAGCTGGTTGCCAGCCCTCTCCTAATTCTCTCAGAATCCACTGGCAGCTCACTGACTCCAGAAAAGCAGGTGGTGTGGAGTACCGAGGTTGCAGAAGGGAAGATGACAGAGTGATGTGCCAGAGGCCACCCAGCAGGCTGGTGTCAAAGCTGGCAATAAAACAGCCCTGCTTCCCGTCTCTGGCTGGGAGCGTGAATAAACRCCCACACACATCCCATCGGAGGGACTGGGGGCTGCAATGATAAATTATGATTTTTGTGAGGTGTGTGATCGTTGCTAGGGGTGCTAATCAAGATTCCAGTCCCACTGCAGTTTGCATACACAAAGGATAAAAAGCAGCACATCCCCACTGCAGCCCAGGGAGGGACAGAGCTGGCAGGGAATGTGCAAGGAGACAAGGATAAAGTCAAARGCAGTGATGAAATACATTCAGAGGCATTTGCAGTGCTTTACATGTGTGATTAGCCCTAAGTGCTCACATGCACAAAAAACTATAGGGACAGAGCTGCTGGAGCTGCTCTTTGTTTCCTCTCTCTGAGCAATCACCTGCCCTCAGTGTTAGTTGAAAAAAACAAGAATCAGGTGGGCCACCATACTCATCCCATGCTGTTCCTCTCCTTTCAGGAAAAGGGATACTTTTAATATTCCAGAATGTCTTCGGTGGCTTTTCCTAGCATGAAATTCACTTAAAATTTGAAATTACACTTTGCAAAGGTCTACTCCTCTGCCTATCAAGTCTCCTTTAAAAATTCATTTCCATGTAAGTTCTTTTAGCCTTATTTCTGATGGAAATAAGACTTATGCGGTCATGGTGCCTGCATCTGTCTGCCTGTCTGTCCTTGTCTCTAATAACTTTTGAGCTCACTGATTTCAAACAAGTTTGGCAGAAGTGTAATTACATCCCTACAGATTTTGTGAAAAATAATCGGTCTAATAGCAAAAAGAGACTCTATCGCAGTCCCCAACAGTGAAAGCTACAACATGGGTTCATGCCTTATTAGATTTCAGATATTCCATAAAATTGAGAATGCTAATAAGTGCCTGATCTGTAGGAAGAGCTTCAAATTAATTTTATGCCATTTTAGACACCATACTCAATCAACCACAATATACAAACACACAGGAGATGTGACTTTCTTAGTTCCAGTGCTCACTAAATTACTTGTTGATTGTGTTTTTTTGTTTGTTTTTTTTTTTTTTCTGTACCAGAGGCTGCCATCAGATCTGCTATTTCATGTAGGGCTAAATAAAATCTCTTTACTCCTGGATGCTCTATTCATTTGTAGCTGCACAATGTAATCTTTTGTGTTCACATAAGGCTCCCACATGAAAGCAGCAGTAGGTTCGCAAATATATGTGTAGTTTTGTATTTAAAAGCAAGTGAATATTTCCCACATCCAAGTAAAWGCAGCAGAGATTATTTTCACTTTGTTGTGATGAAATGTTTAGCCCCCACCTTTCACTCTAGAAGACAAAGTGTTGTCTGTGTGTCAATATGATAAATAGGGAAAGGAGTTTTGCAAAAGCTGAGAGAGACCCCTTCCCAAAGCAAGCATGTGTCCCATCTCATCCCCCCCCCCGCCCCCCCATTCTCACAGCAATACATTCTAACCAAGTCTATTCTTGATATGGAGTTTTGATAAGATTGGATGATTCAGTTCCTTTTGATTTCCCCTGACCCTCTGGCTGACACCCTCAATTCAGAGTGGCAAAAAGGGCTGTGCAAAACCCAATTGCCCTCTCTGCTACAGAGTCAATCCAACCCTTTGGGACCAGAGAAGAAGATACTTGGCAGGCAGAGTAGGGGGAAAGTCTTGTACCTGGTGCTGCTCCTCTGGGATCAAGGAGTAAATTCTAGTTTCCACTCTAAACGAGAATCATTGTTTGAGCTCAGATTTTCCTCTCTGCCCATAGCACTGGCTCAAAAGAAACAAGAAAGGGGAAGGCCGATTTTGAATTGGGCTGAAACAGCTRCAAATCCGCACAGAACTGTGCTATCCATCACTGGATTTGTTTTGTTCCTGGGGATTACTTGCTGGAGGGGCTGCATGAGCAGAGGCAGGGTTGGGTCTCTTTACTTTTTGCCTCTGTTTGGGTGTTGTCCTAGGCCAAGTCCTGGTTAAGGTCTTGCTTACTTTTCTGGTCTGGTTCCAGAATGTTTTCCAAAGGATGTAAASTAACCTATCAGGAAATATTACCTGTTGTTGTAACCCTCCCCCAACACTATTACAGTGTTTTAGATCTGCCTTTAAACACCTCCCACGTATAATCTGGTTATTTGGGCCTAATTGCTTAACTTTCCTTTGCAAGGCAGTGCTGGCTGTGCATTAGATAAAGATATGACACCTTATATTTAGCATTAATTGCAACTGTGCTTGTCCTGAGTGCACATCTCTCTTGGTAGTCTTTCCTATGTAATTTCAGTCCCTAAATAGCCCACCTCCTGATATATTCTTTGATAAATTTCCCAGCAGTGTTTTTTCGTGTGGCATAAACTGCTACAAGCTCTTGTTATAAACCTTTGAGTGCTCAGCTCTTTAGGAACGAAATTCTGATGCTTTCCCCCTCACCTACATCTTATTTCGCCCAAAACCAGTTGCCATCACATTCAAAATGGGAGTAAAAATGGGCAGATATTGAAAGTATCAATTGTGATAAAGTGATTAAGAGCTGTATAGTAGAAGGTTTYTTTTGAGAGGTGCTACCCTCCAAAACAAAACAACATGATTTACCAAAATGTCTGTGATTCAACCATACTAATTTTTGGGTTTGTTTTTGTTTTGTTTTGGTTTTATTTGTTTGAGGAGTTCTTTTACCTCCATAAAAATGTTTAAGCAATTTCTTAAACATTAATTTTGCAAAGACAGCTTGTTGTTTATGTGATGCAGGATACAAGAGAGTGTTTTTCATTTCTCACTGTTTCAGCTGCAGGTTAGTCTGAGGTGRCAGGGCTTTGCTGTCTTGAAATAGAACAGTAAATGAATAGGTGCCTGTGCCATGGTTGTTATTAAACACTACACTCCTTCCCTATGCTGGCTGGCACCACGGCAAGACTCACAAAGGTTTGATGGAGATTGCACCTTCTTGACTCTCTTCTCTGGATCAGGATCCAGGAGTTTGTGGGGAGACTGCTACGTGCACAGTGAGCTCCGCTTGTCCTGAGTCTGACATTTCATTTACCAGGGCTGCCAAGCCAGCACAGGAATGGGTGCATTAGTCATGTCCAAGTACTGGCAGAGCTAAAAAGCCTGAAACAAGGTGATTTCAGGGTGGAGAGGAAAAAGCTCTGGCCTTCCCCACTCACCCTCCAGCAACCCAAAGAGCTGCAGGCGGTGGAAGGCAGGTGTGTCACTTCTGCAGCAGCAGTGACAGACTGCAATACCGAGAATGAAGAAATGCTTTCAGATACTTCCTTTCTGTCACATTACACTGCCTCGGGGAGAAAACCTAGCTGCTGAATTGGAGAATTGCCGCAAATGAGTCAAGTGCTTCTRGCCTCCCACTCACACGTTTCCATGTGAGAGTAAATAGGTAAGAGAGTCCTCTGAAGAGTGCAGAAAGGAGCAACTGCGTTCACAAGCTCATGTCTTGCAGCAAGGTATTTGCTGACTGAGCACGCACAMAAAGACCTTTAGCCATTTTCCCTGGCTGCTCCTCTTCACAGGGCAGTACTTTTAGACAGTTTCCTGTAAGAAACAGTGCTGACCTTGGTCTCTTCTCTTTCAGCACCCATACAGGTTGCAGTTCAGCTGAGCTACCCTGAGGGGCCTTGGCTAAGTTGTCTGCTGCGCCTCAGTTCCCATTCTCTAAAATGAGGAAAATACTACTCTACTTCACAGGGCTGTTAGAGAGAAGAGCTTAAAAAAACCCCACCCCAAACCAACATCACCCACATTTACTTTGGTTTTTCCTGCAGGGGGAGGGGGGAAGAAATGAAAAAAAACACAGTTATAGAGTCTCTTTATACATGGTCCAAATCCCGAATGGAAGCTCTTTGTAAAGAAAAATAGTGAGAAATCAGCAATGCAGCCTCTGAATAGGATGCTTAATTGCAGCTGTATT